GGTGGCGGTGCTCCGGGAGAGGAACGTGGAGCTGGTGAAATTGGAAACGAGTTACAGGCATCGGGAAATGGTTGTGGAGCTGGTGAAATTGAAAACGAGTTGCAGGCACCGAAAATGGTTGTGGAGCTGGTGAAATTGGAAACGCAGTTGCAGGCATCGGGAAATGGTTGTGGTGGTGGAGGCCTCATTTGAAAAATTAGATAAGATATGAAGACCTATTTGCAAAATCAGAATTTTTCATTAAATTGCAATTTAGTTCATGGGTTAAATTTATAATTTATCATAAATTTAATAAATACACCATAATAATAAGTAAAATTACACAACATAAAAAAATACGCGTGCTATATAATGCACAATAGGGTTAGACTAAATGCACAATAGTACATATAATAGTGCACACTAGCATAAAAGTGTGCATATAAAAATATATTATTTTTACAATTTATGCATATGTATATTGTTTATTTTCGACATAAAATAATACAGAATAATCAATAAAAATTATAAATACAATTATATAATTATTATATAAATAATTTGATAAGTACATGATCATTTAAATAAAATATACATGATTAACGCATTTAAAAATTGACACGAACATAAACAAATGCACGCACAATATATTGCACACTCATATTAGACAATATGCAAGTTATTGTAAGTGGAAGTGCACATCATTAATTTGGTATTTCATATATTATAATATTTTCAAACGAGATAGTATAAAAATATTAAATAAATTTATTAAATATACTAAATATGTTTTTTATATAAATAATAATTTAATTTGATTATTTAGGATTATCCGGATAACCGACTGAATAAACCAATAATTCATTTCAGTTTCACTTTTAGTTTGGACAAAAGTTCGGTCTGACATATTGTATAATAATGCCTGATTATTTGCACAACAATGTTAGAAAAGTTACACACAAACGTTTGTCGGAATGCACCTTAGTGACCAAAACCTACCGAACTAAGTTCTTTTTGTCATTTTTTTATATTTCGATCCAAATGTATATATTTTACTTTTAACAGTTTGAATATTTTGTTTTAAAGACGACATTAATATTTAAAATATAAAACGAATAACCAAACATACCAAACTATATATAAAAAATATTTTTCATTTTATATATTGAATATATAGACTGTTAAATGTAAAACTATTATTTGTTTTTAGCCAACCACACTAAAATAATATATAGATTATTAAACGTAAAATTAAAATATCAACATCAAGATGAACAAACATTGTGCATTATGTAATGCATTGGCGGTTTGGTAACAGTTTAATAATTAATGTGCATATACACAACCGACCAAACTGTTTTTTCATAATATCGACACCAACCAAATACACGTTTCATATATTGTTAGTCGGTAATATATTTTTCAAATTGTATAATGCATAATTAAAATTTTGTCGTCCATTTTGTTTTTCTCAATGTTCAAAATTGATTATTTCGGTTTTGACATTCCGATCGGTTAGTTCGATTAAACTTATCGATATAAAACTTTATTATTTAGGGTAGTTCGGTTAATCGGTAGAATAAAAAAACTATTTCAGTTATGTTTTAGTTGGATTTGGAACAAATCACTAAACTGCACAACACTGTTATGTGAAATGCACAGTAATGACTGTCAGATTGCACATTAATGTCTATCAGATTGCACACTAATGACCTAGGACAATCGAACTAAGATTTTTCGATTCAAATTTTTTATATTTTGATTTAATTATCTATTTTTTACTTTTAAAATTTTGAATATTTGGATTCAATGTCGCTATTATTATTTAAAACAACGAAACAACCGAGCGGTAAGCGGTGCAAAGTGGATAGTATAATAAAATTACAATGATTTTTAAAGTACATTTTAACCCTCATTATTGTGCATTAATTTTATCATTAATGTGCACGGTAAACTTTACAAGAATGCAACACATATCAAAATATATATATATAAAAAAAAAATGAATATTGCAACAAAGTCCCTGAAACTTATTCAATTCTCAATAGCAAGTCCCTAGAAACAAAAAACACAAAGTTCCTGTCACTCAGCCATTACCCCAAACTCAAGTACCCAAATCACTTCCCACGCAGCCTCCTCATTCATCACCCGAACCGACGTTGCTGCCTTTCCACGCGACCGTCGGACATGTGCTACTTACCGTCAGATGATACTCGGAGATGGCAGCCTCAAAATCGGAACATATTCAAATTAATTACAAAAATTGAACTTTAGGGATTATAAATTGGGGCTCGATTTTTATTGACAGAGCGTCGATTCGATACACAGAGTGGAAGAGATCGAGATGAAAAAGATGTCTACGACAATGGCGTGACTTAGTCGGACGCCGGCGACGTCAGCCGGTGGATCGGTTAAATCGGTAGAGAAATTGTTCACGGTGGCTCGGGATTATATAAGAGTTGCAGAGAATGAGATAGAGAGAGGAAGAACGACGGAGTCGACGAACGGAGGCTTCCGGTGGCGAAAGACGGCAACCGAAGGAGGCGTGTGGTGGGGGTTGATCGGGCAGAACTGTATGGCAATGGTGATGTATGTGTGTGACGTGTTGGAGTTGGTAATTGGAGTAGGGGAAGAGATAATGGGGGGACCCACTGCTAGATGAATAAATACATAGATGCCCTTTAGCCTTTACAGCTTGACCTATGCTTCATCAATATTTACTAAAATGCCACCGCGAATTAACTAGTATTGGACTTCATCTTAACCGTTGCAATACCAAATCAAATGGTCAAAATTAATTCTCATTTCTTTCACTATGATCTTTTCTCATTTGAGCGCACTTCATAAAATAGATATCACAAATCCATATTATCACAAGTCAATACATAATTAAATATAATTTCATATTCATAAATTATAGTTAATATATATTTTACGGGTAGAATATTACATGTGTAACTAGTGCTACGGTAAAATATTCATATTTATTTACACATAAAATAATCTTTATATTTATTTGGGAGACGTTTAAGAAACAAATATTTCACACATATATATTTGTAATCTTTACAAATATAATCTTTACTTCACAGGTACGTGAAATATTTATATTTATAAATATTTACGTGTAATATTTACAAATATTACACAATAATTTACAAAATTATAAAATTTACATGGTAGATATAAATATTGTTAGCACAAATAATTAATCGTGAAATTCCTACTCATATTAAATCGCCCAAGTTATATAATAATATTATATTAATTTAATTTCGCGGTGTTAACAATCCGAAAATCAACAAATAATTAGAGAAATGAGGTGTCTATGCAACTAGCAATTACTATAAATATCAATCTACATTTTTCAAGTGCAAAACAATTTGCATGGAAAAACAATAAGGATTTTAACAATGTATGACTTTTTCATGATGAACATTTTCTGATTAACTGACAAATGCCCTACGATATTATAACTTGTTGATTAATATTAGTCTTTAATTATAAATTTTACCAAAACAAATACAGCTCGTGCATCGCACGGGGTTACGTAATAGT